CGGAGCGCCGCATCTCGCCGGCCCTCCGCCCGCTATGGGGTTAGGCAGCCCGGTTGGAGCTCTCCCCTGGGTTTGCACCTCCCTGCTAGCCCAAAGGGTCTTCCCCCCACCCCCCGCCTTGTGTGGGACGTTGGGGCCCCTCCATCTCCCCGGTTGGGAGGAGGAAGAGCCAGGAGCAGAAGGACCTCCTGCATGCACGACTTCCTTCATGTGCAGCTCCCCTGCGTGCACAGCCCCTGGGCATGTATGACACTCTTCATGCTCCGATCTCCTGCAAGCACAACCCAGCTAAATGTGCAACCGCCCTCCCCCACCACCACATGCACAGTTCTGCATCTACAACCTCCTGCCTACGTGACCCTCCCACCTCCTCTGGCATGCACAGATCATCTGCATCACACACACCCCGGCATTCACAGCCCCCCTCCCTTCATGCACGACTGCCCTGCATGTGCAACACTCCTGCATGCATAACCCCCTTGTATGTGCAACCCTCCTGGTATGCACAACCCCTCTTCATACCCAACCGACCTTGTACAACCCCACTGTGTGCACAGTCCTCTGCTTGTCAGTCCCCAGCTCCCTGAGCCATTTCCCAGAGCCCAAATGGCATTAGACATAGAGACTGGGAAAGCCTGAAGGCACAAGGGCTCAGCAGCTGGGGAGGCACGGAGTAGCCTCAGCTGCTTGACAGGATGGGACTTCATTGCATGGGGTAGTCGACTAGGAAAGTCTGCAGGAGCAACCCAGGTTCGGTAGGTCCCAGCGAAATGGCAAAGGCCTCCAGGAAATTAGCTGCGCGGAGGGCGCTGGGGGAGGGAGCCTGAGAAGCTGGCTGTCAAGGAAGCCTGGAAATGGAGGACACGACTGGTGAGGCAGCAAGAAACAGGCAGGTTTGACAAACTCTCTATGCCACAGATGGGTTTAATTCTGCAGAATCAGCATTTTCTGGCAACTACGTCTGTCAGAAGAAATTCCAGCTCCTCTCTTGTTGGAGTGCACTCAGAGTCCTCTCTCTGCTCAGGAAACAAATCCATGCTTGCAAACCCCCACTTCTCTGATCTCTCCTGCGGCTCATTCTATTTGTCATTGCCAGTTATTCTAGTGGGAACTGGCTGTGAACACTGTGTTTCTGTGGTCTAATGTCTTCCACTGGAATGGGTTGCTGGGATTGTTTCATTTTCTGGTTTGCAAATCAACTGCTCAAAATCTGGGAAGTTTCAGCTTTCTGGTAGCCAGAGCAACCGTAACTCAGCCTCTCGGTGCACGGTCATTCAGAAGCACTCACAAGACCCCTCTGTCATACAGTGCCCAAAGACCAAATTCAGGCTGTCTGTAACAGTCAGTCTGGCATTTTCTAAACTACATGTGACACACCTCACAGCATGTCTCTTAGTTTTGCTGTGTATCATCTGAGATTTAATTTCTGGGTGTCAGGAAGGAATACCACATTCCTTCAGCTCTTCTGTTGCTTCAGGGTCTTGCACCCTCTCCCTGTCCCCAAGAAAAGTGTACAAAGGCTTATAGCTTTCTGTTTTTCTCCCTCACAAATTTAACAGTAGCAGTTCCAATGCTTCTTGGAGATGCCCCTGACTGTGCCCAGGAAGGAAGATAGAGGACCTAAGAGTGACAGGACACAACCCATCGCAAGATCTGGAGTCATCCCAGAACTAATGAACTGGCTGGGCAGGGGAAGTGTTAATTACAGGATGATACAAACAGAACAGGTTGGCAGAGCAACTGGGGTCTACTTCTCTACAGTGGAAGATGTACCAGGTTCGGAAGCCCTCTGAAATGTTCTCCAGGTAAGGCTGACATTTCTCACCTCCTTACCAAGGCTACAGTGTGGGAGAGCAGGTTGCAAAACTCAGCACAGCAAGTATCTGATGGCAGGGCTTTGTGTTCCAGAGCAATACGTAGCAAAACACTATGCTAAAATGATTCAGCCTTTGCTTGCAGGTCTGAGTGTTGTTGGAGAGCCACAGGTGCTGCTTATTTGGGATTCTTTGCTGTCTACAGTGCCAAACAGCTTGCTATCTCCCATCACCTCGACAAGCTGGTCTCTGCTGCAACCCACGGGGACTGACCTGAACTAGTTCTCAATTAGTTACTGAGGTTTCTGAAAATGTGGGTGCATAATCAAGCGTATCTTTGGGCTGCAGTATCTGCTGGAACAGGACCTTCATTTGCTCATTTAAAGCATAGCCTGCAGTCACAGTCAGGCTCTGTCAAATTTATGAACTTTCTTTTCTGGTTAGTGTCAAAGTTTCAGGTTTCTTTTTTCCCTAGTCATTAATATGAAGGTGGTTTGCTGGCTGGTGCATGCTCAGTCTGTGTTGGAGAAGTCAGTACTTTCACACCTCCTCACTTCCAGAGCCTGCATGACTCACCCTCTGTCTTGCTTGTTTATTCTAGTCTTTTGACAGAAGAATTGTGAAAATTCAAGCAGAGGTCATTACTCAGCCAAAAAGTTAAGCTCTGATTGCTGCTGTGATCTCTCCAGGCTGCTGGGAATGTGTTGAAAGGTAGACCTTCTTCAAAGAAAGGTTGCTCTAGAATGATGCCCTCTGGCATTGTAAACTAGCTCCGCTATAAATGGGCCCGTGGTGTCAGTCCCTGAGTGCACCCATAGGCCTTAATTACCCTGACCAGCCTCATCAGGTCCCTCTAACCAGACCCTCTGCCCGCGGGCCCAGGAGCCTTTAAAAGGCCTTTAGCCCTTGCCTGGGCTATGCTATAGGTGTACCTGCCTCTAGCAGGTCCCTGAATGGGCCTTGGACCCATCTTGTAGGTTGTTTCTCTACGTTTCTGTTTCTGGCCTCATCTCCAAGCAAGAACCATGCTGAAGCTGTAGGCAAGGTGCTGGGCTTGTGGATGTTTGTAGTAGGAATATTGTTTGGTATGGTATGAATGAAATATAAATGGAAATGTGTGAGTGTGTGAAAGACCCTAGAAGAAACAGCAGAACAAGGGTTAAAAGGAAAGGGATGTGTTAATTGCTTTAGAGCACCTGTTTATGATTTCATTCAAATCAAGAGCAGGAACAAACTAACCTAAGATAAGGAGTCAAGAGGATGAAGAACAGATAAGGAAAACAAAGGAACTGTAAAATTCAGGGAACTTGCCTAAGAGGGGCAAAATAAAGAGGAGGGGGGAGCATAACAGCATTTCTTCCTAAAGGCTGTAAAAGGCAAGTCCAAAATCAATTTGTTATCCTCTATTGAGAAGAACCCTAGAGGCATAATGAGGACTGCATAGCTGGAGTCCCTTGTCCACCTGTCACACACAAGTGACACTGGCCAGATCACCTGGGGCCACAAATCTTGGTGCTTGTGAGAGACTGATTAAATAAACTCTGCAAGAACAGCTATGAGAGGACAAAATTGACTTACTTGGAGATTTGGCATTACAAAATCACTTTCTTCTTCCAGAAGATCTTGCACTAAGTTTTATTACATTCATTTCCTCTAGACCAGAGAAGGGAGTTTCTTGTTCCTAGGGGCAGCATCTGCATGTTATCTAATTGCTGATTAACATCTAACACTAGAAGAGGCCTTGGAGCCAGAGGCAGGTCCCGAATGAGCTATTTTGAGCACTGGTCACAAAGTCAGCATCTGCTTCCTGGCCCTGCTGGACCAAGTAAAATTGAAACCTTTGTCACCTCCCTTTGTGACAACACATTACTTGGTGGTAAGGGATTTGCCTAGCTGAGAGATCAGCTGAAGAGAGGAATATCGTATGTCATTCATATCATGCAGAGCTGACTCACCTGCTCAGCACATCTGTCACTTATACTTGTTGACTGATATCCTGGCAACCCAAGATGTGTTTTATGGGTTGAAAGTCCTTTGGAGTGAGGTTCCTACAAGATTCCAACGGAAGAGCGTCTTTGGTTCATGTTTGATGATATCATTGTATAATCATTGTATAAAGTGAAGTTAAGCCTTGCTTTACAGTTATGCAGCACAGCTCAGCACAGTTATGCTCTAACGAAGGAAAGGGAATCAGCACCCACAACAGGTACATGGGAATGACAGAAAGGAGAACTGGAGGGGACCAGGAGTGGCAGCTGAGTTCATTCTCCAGCCCTAGTGGAGAACCCAATTGGATGTTGAGGAAAATATTTTTCTATCATACTTTAATGCATCTTGATGATGACGCTCAAGCTGTTGCTGCTGGAGGCTGTTCTCCAGGCAGTTGACTCCAGCTCTTCACCCTTCCTTAGATGCTGGGAAACCTTTTAGATCCTATCTAAAAGCTTCTTTACTGCCATATGAACCCAATAGCAAAAAGAGGGGAGAATGCACCAGGCCAGACCTTCCCACCGGAGAAGAGACTGGAAGGGTCACATCCCATCACATGCCAGTTTGCACTTCCCAGTGTGATGTGTGCAATTTTGCAATGGACTACAAACATTCCAGCAAGGCCTTTTTTCCCCTCCCCGCACCCCCGGCCAGGTTTGACATATGTTAATCTTATGAGTATGTTAATCCTACGGTCTGGCATAACAAGCGCTGCAACTTCTTTTTCAACCAAATTGCTGCAAAAGAGGTTTCTTCATCCTATATTTGTGCAGATGACTGGCCCCCACTAACTGAAGAGCCTTGTGTTTGTCCTTTCCAAATGGCATCTTCATTTTTAGACCACTGCTTAGATTTATTCATCACTCAGAATTCTCACCTTGTCCTCCCATCTAGTCGCAGATTCTCCCACCTTGTTGCCTGCAAGCTCAATGAGCTTATTCTCTAATCCATCATTCAAACCCTTAATTCAAATATTGCATCATACCAGAATCGTGGCAAGCCACAAAGGACCCTGTTCAATAGATCCTTCCGGTTTGACAGCAAACCGTTGACTGTTATTTGCTAGAAAACACAATCCAGTCAGTTTATATCTGCTTTACAGTGATTTTGTCTAGACTGTGTTTTCTTCGTTTGCATGCGAGACTGTCGTGTGATACGGTGCCAACAGCTTTATTAGCACTGAGATATGTGACAGGTACTGCTTCTACCCGAACTGCAGATTTTGCCACCTCTTCACAGGTGGGACTGACTCATTCAACACAAAGCTTTTACTGTTCATCCCCATCTCCTTGGCATCCCCTGCACTATTGCAAGTCGTCTGACAATTTATTCCAGATTTTTTTCCAACACTGGGGCTTGGGCTGACTGCTCTGCCATTCCCTTTATAAGGATGGATGCTGTGTTTGATGGTATCCAGTCTCCTGAAATCCCCAATGTTTTCCACTGTGAAAACACTAGGAGCAGGTAAGACAGGTTGTGTTTGGTAGCTGTGATGCCAAATATTTCTCTTCTTAATGCCTCTGTGCCTGGCTACTACTTAGTTTGGCTAATATCCCTTGCTGATGTGCATATTTATGTTGAAAATATTACCTTTTCTTTGCTTAAACCTGTGCCCTGCTTCATTTTAATGTTCTTGCTTTTGATGTATTGGTTGGCTAATACATGTTACTCTTATTAACATCTGCGGCAGCAAAATTGCTCTGTTATTTATGTGCTAGATGTGGTTAACGTCTCCATACCTGTTTCCTTTTGCTCTGCATGTACCTGCAAACTGGAAGGAGAACACGTCTCCGGAGTCTGGGCTTGCAACTCAAAATTGTGATATTGTGCAACAAATTCAGCACTGAAGTGGCACCTCCAAGCATCACCTGTTCTCAGGCAAGCGCAGCTAAGCCTGGAGAGCACCATCAGCAACACCTCACACTGCAAAGTCATTTGAAAAGGCAAACATGACCGATTCTTCCCTTTGAAGAAGAGGCAGCTCTGTTTATGCCCAAACTCCTGGGCCACAGGAATGCTGATCTTCTACCTGCACCTTTCTCCAGCCCCGGGAAGGCAGGTAAAGTGCAGAGAAGGAGCTGTGGCCTTTTCAGTAGCTGGATCAGTATGTACCCTGTTGCTCAGCCCCAGCCAAGAAGGACAGTATTTAAGTCTCCCCTTTCCTTCTTTATTTCTTACCAAAGAGATTCGATGACTTCCCACTCAGAGCATCAGCTCTGACATTCAGTTCATAAATCCTATCCATGCACTGTTCAGAGACCATCAGCCCCTAATTCACGGCAGTGGGGGTTCGTTCATTCCCGGAGCCAGGCAGGCGCTAATATGACTAGCAATGCAACCGATGAATCCTTTGAAACACAATGAAAACCTTAAGGTGCCTCTGCTCCAAGAAAGCAGTCAGGGTAAACCCGGTACAGTCAGGCAGGTGCTCTGGTGTCCAGAAAGGTTGGGAGAAAAGGCACCTTGTAAATATCTAACGGGAGAGATCTTGAAACCCTTCTATTCGTTTTAATTGTTGGTAGTAACATCCATTCAGGCGTTATTAACAGGCAGCACTTACTTAAACTGGCATGGTGAAGAGGAGGGAACTGCTGGGAAGGCCATAGGGGTCTGCAAGGGGGCACACAGTGATGCATGCAGATATCTCCCAGCAGGAGAGAGGGAGGAAATGCTCCCTGTGAGCAGAACCAACCAGCTTCCTTCAAGAGCGTCTGGTTGCTGATGGTCTTCCTCTTCCCAGGCATCCCACTGCAGAAGTGGAAGGTGTTGAATGACAGTCCTCGGCAGCAGCTGTCAGGCTCTGAGCTGACCAGCTCTCCTTCTAGACCCTGCAGCAACTCCTCCTCTGCCGCTCTAGCAAAGATCTGGCTACGGTTTCCTCTCCTTCGTTCACTCTGCACAGCCTGGTCTTTTGCATGCTGCCAGCCTCAGTGGACTGGTCTCAAGCCTTGCCCCTTTCTCTCTTCACCGGCTGGCCTCACCCGCCAGGTCTCTGCCCTCTCACAGCAAGTGAAACTGGGTGAGATATAAATCGCTCCTTCTGCTTCCCTTTTCCTGTGCCAACTTGCCTGGTGGTAAAGACAGTAATGACTTTGGCCTGAAGCCCATCTTCCCTGGAGTTTTTTGAAAGCATCCGCTATATTACAGGGCCTATTGGACGAAGTGGGTTCCCTTTGGGTCAGGTCTTCATAAAACACATGTTCGTGGCAGCAGGATGCAGCATGACCATCACAACCCATATCGATGCTGCCAACCCCTTCTGCTCAGCATCCAGGCATCTCCCCCTTCCTTTCCGTTTAAACAGTTTTTCCTTCCTTCTTCTCCACCACAGCCATCCTTCCCTTTTGTGGTGGTGTTTGATGTGAGACATTAACTGCAAATTCTGCTGGCAGAAAGCCAAGTTTCACTTCTGGCTCTGTCGAGATGTGTGTTTCATCCCTGAGCCCAGATGAATGGGTGTCAGTGGCTTCTTGTCCCTGCCCGGCACCTTGGTGTCTACTGGTTCATTTGCTTCATTCCTCTCCTGCCCTTTAAACTAAATATCTGAAGCATGGGCCAAGCACCAGACTCCATGGATCACAGTAGAAACACACTGGGTTGATGGGGCAACTTTGCTGATCCTCTTGTTGGGAAATCATTTGCTTTGTAATCCAGGCAGCGTGAAACATCTCAAATATACATCCTTCTATGGATGCAACCAAAAAAGGCAAATTTCCAAGGCAAGTGCTTTAGACAAGCCTCAAGTCTCATCTAGCCACCAAATACATTGTCTCTTCCAAAAAAATGAATTATTTGGACAAGTTCTGGTTTCCCCCAGAACACAGCTGAGCCAGTGATGCTACCAACTCGTTTGTTTGTTTGTTTGTTTGTTTGTTTGTTTGTTTGTTTTGTCCTGAGAAGTGAGCTTGCAGTAGGGGCTATCACAGAATCACAGAATCGTTTAGGTTGGAAGGGACCTCTGGAGATCATTTAGTCCAACCTCCCTGCTCAAGCAGGGTCCTCTAGGACCTCTATGACCAAAAGGCTCTGGACTATTGGTCCATGTTAGTCTCTGGCTGCCTGCCATTCTTCTTACTTTGCTGTGGAGGCCCCTAGGCCTCCTACAGAGCTTTTCTTGCTCTGCTCAGCTGCTGAAGAGTTCTTGCAGAGAGAGGAGGGAGCAGAGAGCCTGAAGCTCATCAGGAAACAAAGCCAAACAGAGTTGATTGTTTCTTCACCAGCATCACAATCTGTAAGTGACTGGAGTTCGCACCAGCTGTCAGATTAGTTTGGCCCTACAACAAAACAGGGGAACAGATGTGAGAGCATTGTCTTTTCCAGCCTGGAAAAGGTCTGTGAGGAGGCGGACAGCATGGGCCCAATTTCCTGTACAGTGTCCACCATGCTGCCTCCTCTCCTTCCTGCCTCCTGTCTCCCCTCTGGTACCCTGTGGTTGCCTTTCCTCAGCCACATTTGGTCTCTCTGCCTTTTCCCCAAGCTTCACCAACACACTGGAGCTGTGCAACGAAGGATACTCATTTTAAAATATGATGCCTCTACAAGAGCAAAGAGCCAGGAGAGCCAGAAATTATTTCCCACTGAGGCTGGAGGAATATCCAAAATGCTGGAAATGAGTTTTACTTCTACATATTTGTTTATGAATCACTTCACTGATGTGTGATAACTGACTTACTGTGAATGGAAGAGGATACTGAACTCTGTGCTAGCATAGCTATTGAGCTATTACCTGTGTTTCTGTGAAGGTGGATTGTTATTCCTTGCAGTGTTCTGAAACTCAAAGAGACAAAAATATGTCTTTGAGGATTTCTTCAGAGCCATAATGATTTGAAGCTTGAACATACCAAAAGGGCTACCTTTTATGTATTTTCTGAGGTGACTTGGATGTCTGGGGATACTTAAGATTCAAGTAGGCTTAGGAAATCAATGGGAGTTCAGCACCTAACTTATTTATACTCTCTTGAAAACCCCAGTGGGAGCTTGTCTGCAAAGCATGACTCTTTAAGGGTAGGAATTATCCCAGAGCAACACACTTTTATTTCAAACAATGCCATCATGTGGAATTTTTCTTAAACCATCACAGTCCAAATGTAAAGATATAAATGATACTAGCTAGGACGCCCAGGGACATCACTCCATAGCTGCTTTGCTTGCTGCTGACGCCATTCACATTGCATAATGGTTTCTCACAGCAAGAAACCTTTTGATAAGTTTGATTTCGTTGCTGACTTGTTGCTGGACACACTGGAGAACACATCTTGGAGAAGATATACTTAGGCTTGTTGGGCTCTAATGCAGAAGAGATGGAAACAAAGAAAGAGAGTGCAAAAAGGGGGAATCATTGTTAAGATATTATTTCCCTCATTAAATCTGCATTGCTGAATGAAAGAAGGACAGAGACCAGTCCCCGAGGCAAATATGTCCTCTGCTCAGGAGCTGCCCCATCTAGAGCAGTCTGGTCATGTCCACACTGCTGGAACGTGGTACCGGGTCTCCCCTGGGCTCCATGTTATGACTATGCCTAAAATAGAATTAGCATGTGGGGATGGGTTTCAGCTGAAACTGTCTGAGGCAATGCTCAATCTGGTTTCCTGTCCAACAGAGTGATTTTCCTGCAGCATAAAACCAGGGGAATGTTTTGCACGACATGGAACTCAGTGTGAGAGTGCATGAAGTTGTCTGAGGGTGCAGAGCCCCAATGGACAGAGCTGAAGGATTGTGCAGGGCAGAGGGAATCAGCTGCGGTGCGGTTTTGTCCATATTTCTTTGAAAATAACCCTGGGAGTGAGCTACTGAACTATGTCCATGTACTATCATGGAGAGAGCTAGCTGGAGCGATCAGAGCAAAGCTGGGGGGAAGCTAGCAGTGAAGCAGCGCACATAGTCCTAGGCT